ATGCCAAAGGAGAGAGAACAGGCGTCGCGGAACATGACCAGACGAAGAACCATCATGCCAAGGTTAGAGATGGGGCTGTAATAAAAAGGGCAAGGACGTGGGGGGGTCGAGAGCCTGTTAACATGCAGGCCACGGCAAACGGCGGCGCACCCGGCCGCCCCCCGTTGCCGGGGGGCTCTCTGGCTCTGTCCTCGCCTGCACTACAAAGCGCGCTTCCGTCCTGTGATTGGCTGGCCGCTGGCTCAACCGGCGTCGCTCAGTGGGGTGCGGGTCCCGGGTCCCGGGCTTCGGGCAAGTCGCCACCACGCCGCAGCGTCTTTGAAGCAGACAGCTTCAGCCCGGACGTAATTTTTAATATATTAATTAGACCCTCAGTGTAAAACAAACCTCGTTTAAAAAAAAAACCACACATCCTCACGTAGTCAAGCGCTGACGGCCACCCGCCCGTCACCGCCGACCGAGCCTAACCACGTCAGAACCGAAAATCAATCTTACATCACGTAGCAGCAGCCCGACAGCCGCCTTCTACTGGCCCCCAGGGGACCGATAAAGGCAAAAAGCTAATTCCTGTGACCTTTAAGAGAAATTTTCTTCTTCCGGGGTTTTCGTGTTTTTTTCAGTGAATACAGATTTTTGTCTATGCAAATTATGGTATTTTTCCCAGCGAATCAAAAGCACAAACCCTTAAATGCTCAATTTTATCAACAGCAACAAAAGCCTGAAAGAGTGCCATGTCAAGGCCTCCCTGGCAAGCAGAGCGGTAAATATCCTTTAGCGGAAATGGTTTATACGGAACTAAATGCGACGTCGGGGCGATGAACTGAATTAAACATGAAGGCCAAGATGTCAATTCATGCTTCTGTTAATCACAGAGCGTACATCACATTGAGGATTCACACTGGCGTGCTCCTCCACTGCCTTGTTCCCTTTGTACTTGACACTGAATATTAACTGAGCGACAGAAAGCAAACTGTTTGTTTTACAGACATTAACTTTGCTGACAGTTATACGTTTATCTGTGGTTTTTGATGTTCAGCGTGCGCATGTTCTACCTGACACTAGACTGAGCACCCGGCTTCGGGTGATTTCTTAGGAGTAAATGGTAAAACAACGCAATTTATGACACTCAGCTGCGTCTATTCGGATCCACCTGGAATGGTTTTATAAGGTCAACCATGCGGGTTGAAGTTTGTTATGTTTACTTTAGTTTTACACTTTTTCTACACTGCTGTCTGCTGCTTTTTCTTGTCAGTATATATTAGCAGTTTGTCTAAAATGATGAATAACGACAGAAGTACTGTTAAAATCATGTAGAAGTGACGCTGCCAGCTATCGGGTTGATACATTTGGTTGAACTTTTTAGGGGTTATTAACTTGTATAATGGTGAAGTGAGGCTCTTTAACCTCTACACAGCCCTGTGTTGAGTATTCAACAACGACAAACCACTGACTCATGTTTAATTAATCCTGTAAGTCACAGGAAACAACAATGATGACATATTAGTCTAGCATTAGTGACCAAACGGACAACCAATTAGCAACCTGCAAGCAAACAACACGCAGCAGTCAGCCTTATCTTATTTAAAACATCACCAGTGAAGTGTTTGCAACTTGTGTGCACGAGTCTTCAGTATAATACTAGTTTTTCTTTGGATGTTTTTCCTAAAACAAAAGTCAGCCTTCCTATTCTGTGGTCCAGCACCTCAAAATAAAAGGTTCTCTCCAGGTAGCTCACTCACTCATTTATATAGAATATAGTTTGAAACATGTATTGTAAAAGAGATCAGATAAGCACATAATGCCCAGTGGAAACAATGCAAGTGTGGTAGAATGCCTGCCAATACAATTTTGTTGAAAGTGTGTGATTTTTCTAAACCACAAAATAAACAAATAAGTAACAGCAATACTCACTGTGAATGCATGTCTCACCACACTTAACTGGAGGGTTTGGCCGGCGCCGGAGGATCAGCAGGGAGACAAACAAACAGAGAATCTCAGAAAAGAAAGATAAATAAACACCAAAAACATTGTATTATCATATACTATTAGAATTTCCAGTTAATCCGTCCATGTTACATCAGTGGCTGTTTGGTCGATCAGGATCACACTCCTGCCGCCCACATCTTTCTGCATCCATCCTATAAACTCTTACGCTAGTCGGGGTCATCGGGGGGGCGGCTGGACCCTATCCCAGGCAGCATAGGACTCAAGGCTGAGATGACAGTTTATCTCAAGGGACACACACAGTCATACAAGATTTGAATCTTGAAACCAAGTGAGGTGACACTTGAAAGGTTGATTAAAAAAACCTGAACCGTGACCGTGGTAAGTTTCCTGGGTCTTGAAAGTGACCCATGGAAGGTCATTCCTGAGCTGGTCACGGTGGTGGAGAAACAGAAGAACCAGAAGCCATGAAGCCGTAAATCTCCTCCCCACCACTGGGGCTTCGTAGCATCCTGTCATTTATAGCGGCGGGGGAACCTTGAGTGAGCCCCCGCTGGCACTATCGCCAATGAGGATCGATCAGCTGACGGGGGGGGGGTGCGGGGTGCTTTGGGAGTGTAGAGGGAGGCGGAGTCAACCCTAATGCCTCTGGCCTTTAACCTCTGACATCCCAACATGACCGCCCTGTCATTTATTAATCGGCTTTATGGGAAATCAGATGGACTATTCACACAGATAATGAGTGAGCACACTCACCGACTGGCTGGGGTCGAGTCCTGCTACCCCTCGACATGGACGTAGCCCTGTCAAAGGAGTCAGCTTTAAGATGTGTGAGTCTTTCGTCCACAGGGAGGAAGTCCCCACCATTTGCTGTGCTTGCAATGCTGCCCCTCTTGGTAATGTGTCCTCTGCTCTCACGTCGAACCGCACCACATTACTCATACTTGGGCATGGTGTTTGAAAGTAACTTTCAGCTGGGACATACCTGTCTGGGCTCATTACCGTCTCCCCCATGCTGGGGGCAGGTCTCGGAAGGGGATGGGGGTTGTGTACATGCGGTCAACGAGCAAGGCAGCCACTTCCACCCAATTCTGACTTTGGGGCATTTCTGAGAGAGACAGGAGCATTTCTAGGACACACGCACACACACACACACACACACACACATAGAAACAGACACCTCCATCCTAGGAATATACAACACAGAAACAAATCTGTTTAAAAGCTAAAAAAATCTAAATGGATGCTAACATCTAAGGATTAAGGATTAAGACTTGTATTAGCTGCCAAGAAAATAGCAAGAAAACTGAACCTGCTTTTGTAACGAAGTTGTGTTTTCCCACTATATAACCATATAACAATATAACTATATAATTATATAACTATAAGCTGCTAATTACTCCTGTAGACGTTCCCACAGCTGAGTTTCCTTTCAGTATTAGGTCTTGTGCAAAGAAAACAAACCACAGGGAATTTATTCTGAAAAATGTATAGGGTTAATGACAACTAGTTCACTCAAAAATCGACAGATTTCGTTGCCTAGCAACTGCCACATGCCACAAGTTACTGGTGATATCCCATTCTTGGGACGGACTCCGTCCTCCACTTGTTCCCCCAGGTACTGATTGGTCCGGTTCACAAAGAGCTTCCTGTATGTGCAGTGTATGTGACCAGGTGGTACGAGCACCGAGCGGGACCGTGCACACATGTCCCGTAATGGGCGCAAACATGACCGACAGCATGAACTGTGCCGATCACTCATCCCCAGTGGTGAAGCTCATGAACTCACTGGCAAAAAGATCACGGCAGTCGGAGGATACCAAAGCGACACGTGCAATTACGGTGAGATCGCCAGGTGAAAGCTGAGACCCGGGAGTGGGGCATTGGGACCCTGGGGGATGGATGCATGTGCAGGTCACGGGGCACCGAGGACCCCAGCTCTGTCGCTGATCCATCAGCGTTTCTTGTGACATGGCCAGCTATAGCCTGGTAGTCCAGCTTTGCAAAGAGTTACAGCTGTGGGGTAATAATGTGGACATGTAGGGAAATGTTGCTTTACTGAGACACATTGGGTCTTATACAGTTTTTCCTTTTAATAATTTAATTTCTCCAACACTAAATGGCTCATGCATTTCTTATAAGCAGGGGAGATGCACAGTGTTATGCAGTAGTTGTTCTACCCTCTGGTTATCCTGTATGATAAAGTAAGGTTTACATTAATTCATTTTTGATGGCAGAGTAACAAATTGTTAACACATGAAACATGTTTTTCTTCCTTATCCAGAGGGGATTTCTGGGGATTCAACAGGAGAAATCTGGGGAATCCACAATGACAAACTGGACATGTGGCAAATCTTGGGGTTCTATGGGGGAAATCAGGGGGTCAAACCCAGCATCTATGACATGATTTGAGGGTTCACAAGGAGAATCTAGACTCCTGACTGAATGGAGAGGATCTATGAGGAAATCTGGACAACCCAGAAGTACAAATGAAGGAACAGGTAAACCAGACATTTTTTTAGCTCAATTTTTGTAATTTTAAAATAATAAAGATAAAATATCTAATCAAAATCCCTATCTGTCTATCCGTAACCCTAATGTGAGGTAACAATAATGATGGTGGTAATGATGATGAGGTTGATTGTAAGAATAATTAAAAAGTGAAAAAACGAAGGAGGAGAAAAAGATGAAGAGGAACAAGAAGGAGGAGGAGGAGGAGTAGAAGGAGGAGCAGAAGGAGGAAAAGGAGAAGAAGAATCAAGAAGAATGAGAGGCAACAGGAGACGGATGTGCTCGCTGTGGGATCACTGGGACGTACTCAGTGTTTGCATCATTCAGCCAGAGGCAAACATAACAAGAGTTTAAAAGATTTAGATTAAATTACTGTTTTGTTTCCAGTGTTTTGATGGAGGTTCAAACTGAATTAACTTATAAACCCACAATAACAGTAAGCTTCGCACTTAATATCATTTTTGCAGGTTTCGAGAAAAATAAACAAATATCACCTTGCAAAACAATATTTACATTAATTTACATTCGATTACATTATCTCAGGCGAGAGAGAAGCCACAGCTGGCGTGAATGTACCCGGCTATGGGCTCCAGCTGCACCAGTAGCATCCCCCACTGTCCCCTGTGGGCATCCCGTACTCACACCTGAAACAGCCACTGGTGCCCTTGCCTTACCGCTGACTGTAAAGTGCTCTACAGGGGTGACCCTACCTGTTCCTGTAACACTATGTATGCTAGAATGTGTTACCCCCCCCCCAGGGGACTCCTAACCTGTCCTCGCACGACAGCTCTGTAACACAAGAGTGCATCATTTTGTTGATAGTAGCCACTACTGATTATATCAGGAATCCAGTAATCTACCGATTAATCTGGCAATTCATCCAGTAATCGTTTAAATCCATCCATCTCTTTTCTGTAACCGCTTGTCCCATTCAAGGACGCGGGGGGGGTCGGGAGCCTTTGAGTTCAAGGCAGGGAACAGCCCAGGGTGGGGCACCAATCCATCACAGGACACACTCACACACCATTCACTCACACAGGCACACCTACGGGCAATTTGGTAGCTCCAATTAACCTCAGCAAGTTTTTGGACTGTGGGGGGAAAGCCGGAGATCTCAAAGAAAACCCCACAATCACACGAGGAGAACATGCAAACTCCAAACACAAGGAGCCATAGCAGAGACTCAAACCCTGGCCCTAGAGGTGTGAGGTAACAGTGCTAACCACTGCACAGTATAATATAATATAATATAATATAATATAATATAATATAATATAATATAATATACTGCAGTTGGCAGGAACCAACCACATATGGTCAAATTTAAGCTCTTCAATTCACTTAAGTTGCAAGTTTTTGGACAGTGAAAGGCAACCGGAGATTCCGCCGAAAAGTCACACACACAAAGAGTGAACACGCAAACCCCACACACACAGAGTGAACACGCAAACCCCACACACACAGAGTGAACACGCAAACCCCAC